TGTCTACGATTACAATTCGTTTGTATTGTGCTGGAAATGTTATATTTAATAAAGTACTGTTTGGTCGGAAATGTTTTGCGGTTTCTGCTAGATTATAATATTAGAACTAGCCCAGTTAAACTAATTATATTGGAACTATAAAACTACTAAAGCTGTCAAATCTTTAGATTTGTTGTGCAGTTATTTAAGCTTCATTAAGAGATATGAGTAGCATAGATATTTGAAATTCCTGTTAATTACTCTTTAATAAGTAAATAATCGCTTTATAACATCAATAGATCTAAACTAGCAACTAAATAGAAATAGCTACGTTTCAGTAAGAATGATTACTTTCTTGGATTGATGTCTAGAAATATTTTAACATTCATGTATGTCATCATTAGAATACGAAGCTACCAACTGAAAAAACAAACAAACTGATAACTGTTTTGAATGAAGGAATACATTTTTAGATGTCACAATCTATTACAGTCGGAAGCTGATAGATTAATGAATCTCATTAGATCAAATGATGGATATATTTAGGACATATTGTGTTATCTTTAAAATTATTTTCGATTTCAACAGAAATGACCATTCTGAGTATGTTTTAAATTTGAATAATTCGAGCACTGTGTACGTTTGTTCTGTCTTTCCAAGATATCGTTTACGGAACTTGACGGGCTTTAAAGTTTAATAATATTCGTGTTAATTAAAAAATGTGAGCTGATGATGTATTTTACTTAGATGTACATTTTTGATGACTCATTTATTTCGAATCTTGTGTAACCGTATCTTTTAGAATCCGTAGACGAGATACATCATTATAACTCAGAAGATTATAGCGAGCGGCAGTTTTACCGGATGAAACAATGCCTGTAAAAAAAACAAAAAAACTGCCACTTGTGTGAAAGTGACTTTTACGTTAAACCGTTTATTCCTTGAGCGGATGGTTGATTCTCTCTTTACATTCCATCTTCAGTAACTCTTGCTTTGCGAATGCACTTCGAACTCATTACATTTGTTTTTCTCAAAAGCTATGTCGTCTCAGTAAATGCCCTCAAACCGCATGGGAAATTGATGGTAAATGATTATATGTAGCAAATATTGGTGTGTAATTGTTGGATCTGAGTGAAGATATATTAAAATTCTTCCATTTCATCCTTTTCCAAAAATTTCTTACGACTAGAAATGTTATTTTTGTCTGTTCAATATTGCTGCAAAGTGTGTAAAAATGCATAAAATTCACAATATTCAGCTCTCCATACATACATGAGAATCAAATGAAGTCAATAGATTTAATTAATGTTATTATACATTCCGCTCTACATTTAAATATATTCGTGGATGCAAGGTATTGAAATTCGAGGGACAAAATAATACATGAAACTGGGGATACTTTGTTTTGGTTCATCTGTTTGATTGCATAAACATTAAACATGTGCTGTGCTTTTGACAAACAACCATGAAGATATTTTAAGGGAACTTGGATCAGTTAACTAACAAGTTAGTGTTAGGTTTTAAAATATACAATCCATTCATCATCTAAACAAAAGTTGAATAACTTTAGAACATATGAGTTTTGTATAAAAAAAAGAGAAACAAAGGTGTTTGCGATATATAAGTTAAAGGGTACTATACCTGTCTAGCTGAACCACATCTCCAGCTTGAATATTAGAGAGTATCTTAGAAATTGGTTCATCTGTATAACCCTAGAACACGTGGATATGAATGATGACAAAAAAAATTTAGAAGCTCTGACACAGACCTGATGTTTTCGAAACCATTCTACGTTTTAAGCAAATAAACGATATTAATATAATATCACAAGTAAAATTAATAAAACTATTATTCTAAGTCGGCTTTTTTGGCTATTGCTGAAAACCGTTAATTTTATAAACGTATAATGTTATCCATTCAACAGAATTTAGTCATATGGCATTATAACATAACGATTGACTAATTACACCCCAGTGGTTATTAATACGCTACTCACTAAATTGTCTAGATAGTAATACACAAAAACCATTGTAGTAAATACAAAATAATTATAAATAATAGTAACCCACTCACCCCACCCCAGCCTAATGCTCGAGCCAAGTCGTTCCCAGTACCTAGAGGTAGTACTGCTACAGGAGGAGAGGGGCTTATGCCTATCTCGTCAAGAACGGATAGGACCCACCCTGCTGTTCCGTCCCCTCCACAGGCTAATATCCGTAGGTTTGGAACCTTTCGATATAACTCCAGTCTGTAAAAATGGAGATGTAATAGTCTTACCCAATTAATAAAACCGAATTAAAGAAACATACAACTTACTTTATTGAGTGATATTATCGATATCAGACTAAAAACAGACCATTCGAAACTAATCTCAAATACCAAGCTATGTCAGTATATAAGAACTTTATACTTTTAAGAATCAATACAGTAGTGTGAAGCGTTAGCATGTGAGTGAAGTTTATGAATGTTGAAGTAGACTATAATCCGGGGAAGAATGTTAACCATAATATACCAACGAGTAGTTAATAGAAGTTAACACTGACAGTTAACATAATCGGCAGAGCATATTATACTGTAGAAAAATCACATAAGAAATCAGACCTTTTTAAGTCACACTGTTTATTTTTCAAAGAGTAGCAGACACAGTCGGGTTTAAACATTATTTTCTGTATTTTTATTTTAAGCGCAAATTAACGCTTGTTCATTAATACAAATATTACTTTAAATTTTTATCTTCATTAAGCCAAAAACAATTTCTTACAGATTCCATAGCCTGGTGATTAAGGCGTTCAACTCGTAATCTGTGGGTCACGAACTCGAATTTCGTCACCGAAAATGCTCGCAATTTCAACCGTGGGGGCGTTATAATGTTAGGGTCAATCCCGATTTTCGTTGAAAAAGAGTAACCTAAGAGTTGGTGGTGGGTGATATCGAGTAGCTGGTTTCACTTTAGTCACTAAAAATGTGCTTTTATCAAATATTTTTTATGCAGCATACATTTCAATCATTTACAAACAGTGATTCGTAAATTATTAACTTGATACAAAAATGTAACGCGATTGAATATGGTAATTTAACTCAGATGCATTTATCAACGAAATACCAATGGTATGGTTTTGACATGGCCTGGTGGTTAGAACGCTAGACTCGTAATGTGCGGGTCGCGAGATCTAAACCTGTCACCGAACATGCTTGTCTTTTCAGCTGTAAGGGCGTTATAATGTGACGGTCAATCCTACTTTTTGTTAGTAAAGAGTACTCTAGAGTTAGCTTGGAGGGAAGTGTTGAATAATTGTCTTTCCTCTAGTCTTATCACTTCCAAATAAGGGACGGTTAGTGCAGTTAGTTATCGAGTGTGAAATTCAACAAGCAAACTAACAATGAAAATGTTTCAATTGTTAGGATCTATTTTCTAACAGGATTTTTGACAAGTATTAAAAGCGGACTTCAAATTTCGGCACCAATAAAATATAACAACTTATATTTTATACAGTCGCCATGTTTTCCTATAAGCATCAATGCTGTCACACGACTAATGCTATGTTTAGATCCATTACGTCTTCACATCACTTAATGACGTTTTAAACCCGGAGGAATAATTTCTCGTAAGCCTATACCTCTTATTCACGTTTGACAGATACAAGGTTTATTTTAACCAAACAATAATCACAAAAAATTACAGCAAAAGCTCAAAATAATAAAAGAACGAATTAATATATGCACTAATATTAGCTGTGTAATTGTCAGGCAAGAAATTTGACCTCTATCTATTACTTTTCTATAATAAAAAAAAGAAGAATGGTAGAAAATTTAATCTTATAAATCATCAACATTCGAAGAAGTATTGACCTTACCCAGCACTGGGACCTCCTAGAGTGAGGTCAAACACCTGTCGAGGATTGAGTAGCCACTGGAATTTATGCATTAATTTGGACCCTTGGTTTCCACCACTTTTTGGATTAATGAAAACAATTAATGGTTTAGATGTTGCTGAGGGAATTGGTTTTATTGCAAACGTTCTTGGTTGTTCTTTTTCATTCTAAAAGAAGAAAACGAATGTATTAACATAACGTTTTCTTACGAGGCTTTCTTAATTACCTCACACAGTTAATCTGACTTCACAGCTAAAATTATCAGTAACCAAAATGTCATAGATATGAATAATGCTAGAGATATAGCACAACATAATGTCGGTGAATTTCATTGAACCTCCCCCCTCCCCAAAATAAAAAACAAAAAAAACACCACCTCCAACAAAACAAAAACTAACTAACTATAATACAAGTAGAAATTTTTACTCACTTCTCAAATCTCCATTGTAACTTCTGTGTAACAAAACGAAATGTATATCATTCATATAACGCATCCAGAAAATCTCCGCCATGGGTGAATACACGTATATATCTATCGTACAAAGTTGAAATTTCTTGAGCCAAACAATTTTCATGTTTGCTAATGCTCCAAAGAAGCCACATACTGAGATTTATTGGGTTGCTGTAATTACCTTAAATTATGACTGTATTTGAGAAAAAGCCGATACTTAAAGTACTTATCAAACCCAGTTACACTTACACTAGACATTCACCTCAAAAATGCATTTGTGATTTGTCTTTGTTTTTTTTCGAGACAAAGTTCAACATCTGGATGCGTTTGCTCACCGAGTTTACCGGTACAACAAAGAAACAGCCCTAACATACCATTGCTTCGTGAGATAAGTTAGTAGAACAGAATAACTAGAGACAGTCCGACTAAATAATGATAATCTTCAACCTTTTCCGATAAAGTTGTAACTTTACTCTCAACTGCAAGCTTCCACTTAATTCTACTTGTTAAAAATGTAGGAAAAAAAATTAATATATTTTTGCCACATTTGTCATTCTATCACCGTTAATGTACGCTTTTCGAGAATTTACATCCAATTTGGAGTTTAGCTTGATTGAAGCTTTCACAATCCTCTGCTGGATTTGGTCGAGTAATAAGCATGCTTGAATTGTAAATCCAAGGATTCGGAGTTTGCGACTCACTGCCTTCAAAATTCTTATTTTAATGCTGTGGGTGCACTATAAGAGTAACAGTCAAATCCCACTATTTGATAAGATACGATTAGCCCAAGATTTGACGGTGGATACTATTGACTAATTGCCGTCCTCTTTAGCTATCAGTTCAAAATTAGAGACTGTTATGTTCAAATGTCTCTTGTGTAGCCTTGAGCAAAATTCTCAAACAAACGAACGATACTTTTCTGGCCTTTGAAAGCCTAACAATTAACGCAATTAGTTTTTAACTAACAAAACTAAAACATGTGTTAAATCACTTGTTTTTAGTTTGCTTAGACTATCCGCGGCAAGATAACCATCAGCAATCAAAACACACTATTTACTGTGGCAATCAAAGATAACGCTGTTTTGGGTGAGACCAAGTCCGTTGTGTTGATCCTTCTACTCCTGTTGAAACTTCAGTCTGGTCAAGAATATTCGAATGTCGGGTCAAAAAGAATAACCTTACCTAGACACAAGTTTGAATGTAAGACATAATTAACCACAGCTAATCAATCAATGGAAATAGTTAGCTATGGTTATTTTCTAAATTATGCGAAAGTTTGAGGCTACATTTTCCTTTAAAGACAAATAAAAATCGTAAATAGTTTAATATATGTGCCCTATTACGGCATTTTATACCTTTTTAGACGAGATATTGTTTCTTAATGTCTTTCTTTATCCAATGGCTAAGTCTCATAGCGTGATGTCTACTAGCATGTAAAATTCATTAATAACTTCTAAGCTTGCTGGAAGGACCTTTGTTATATCGTGTAAGTACAAGGGCAGTATTCAAGTTCACCAAATGACTGATATCATCAGTAAAATTTAAGAAAACCAAAATAATATTTTTGTTTTGTTTATGTGTTTAATGTTTTTTTCACAAAAACAAACGTCAAAAACAGCATGAACCTGGAAGAGGAACTAAGCTGATTTAAAAACAAAATGTCAATCACATTAAAGAAGGAAAAGATTTACTTTCACATTGATTTGCTCATAAAACAAAAATAGTTATTGTTTATTTCTTGATATCTTAGGATACATAGCATGCGGTTTTATTATTCTTTTCGGAAAACTATATTATTGCAACATTTTCCCGGAGATATTTCAATATCTCCAAACTTTGCAAAGGCGCTGGTTTTATTATGTTACTTATCAATAACACAGTTCAATGATAATTCAATTTACAAAGCAGAACATGGTGAATGTTGATGTCTACGAAAAATAAATTAGCTAAAATTGTCTTTTAAAATCGAACAAACGTATTTCTATATCACGAGCCTGGTGGTACTTCCAGGAATCCATACAGTTGGGGACAAAAATCGAAGCCAAAAGGTTACTAATGTTTTGTACAAATAACATCTTAAGAAAAAAGTTAAAGATCAATATAAAAATAGAATATTTAAAAAATGAGACCTGGTTAGAATGAAAAATGCTCAATACTTTAAATAGAAAACCAAGTTCATCGGCGTGAAAATGGAATTTTCATTTATACCGATGCTTGACAGATGGCGCTGCTCATGAATAGGTTCTATTAATACCAGTAATATAATTAAACTGTGTGCAAACTAAATTGTACGACTTAGCTAAACCTGTACTAAATGTACTTCTGCAGGTTCCCCGAAAGCGTTCTGTTTCAAAAGTAAATAAAACCAAAATTAAGAGTAACAAATATTTTTATTTCTTGCTTTTGAAGTTCATATGTCATGCTGTGTTGTAGCCTACAGAGTGCATAATTATTCCCGTGATTCATGGCATGCGCACGTTTTACAAATTGCAACGTTAAGCGTCCCTTATGTGACGTCATTTTAGTGTTTAATGACTGAGCGACAGACAACATACTACTGTATCGTGGCGAGAGAGGTTAAAACAGGCGATCCCTCCTTGCGGCCTTTGGTCCCCTTTCGGAGAAATAACAATTTATGTTTAAGATTCGTAAATATATGAATTATATTTTCTATTTCCATTCATAAGAAATATATTTTAATAAGGATTTTTCTCTTCTTTTAATACATATTGATATCATAACATGCTCTCAAAAAATCATTAAAGTTAACACTATATATTTTAGTGGTTAATGTGTTGGACCGTGAAACTGAGGATCCATGGCTTGAGCCCCATTGCTGCAAAATTTCATTTCCCAATTTGAGCCGGGGGTATATTATATGAGCCAAAACATTCGATTACAGTAGCGCATGAGTTGGCAGTAGATGGTGTTGACTACCTATCCTCCCTCTAGTCTATCACTTCAAAATTAGGGACGACTAACGCAGGTAGCCCTCGAGTAGGACCCAGCATGGCCAGGTGGTTAGGGCGCTCAACTCGCAATCTGCAGGTCGCGGGTTCGAATCCCCGTCACACCAAACATGCTCGCCCTTTCAGCCGTGGGGG